ACATATAGTGATGCAGTCCGTTAGTGAAAATAGGGTTTGTAACGGCAATATATTTGGGGTTGTCACACTCAAGAATTAAAAAATGCTCATCAAAGCTTTGCTAAATTGCATAGAATTCTAATGTGCAACTCAAGAATGAAACAATGCGCATCAAAGCTTTGCTTAAATTGCACACACTTCTATTGTGGAACTCAAGAATGAAACAATGTCATCAAAGCTTTGCTAAATTGCATAGACTTCTATTGTGGAACTCAAGAATTAAATGATGCTCATCAAAGCTTTGCTAAATTGCATAGACTTCTAATGTGGAACTCAAGAATGAAACAATTCTCATCGCGCTTTGCTTAAATTGCATAGACTTCAATTGTGGAACTCAAGAATTAAACAATGCTCATCAAAGCTTAGCTAGATTGCGAAGACTACTTCTATTGTGTAACTCAAGAATTAAACAATGCTCATCAAAGCTTTGCTCAATTGCATCCACTTCTAATGTGGAATTCAAAAATGAAACAATGCTCATCAAAGCTTTGCTTAAATTGCATAGACTTCTATTGTGGAACTCAAGAATTAAACAATGGTCATCAAAGATTTGCTAAATTGCAAAGACTACTTCTATTGTGTAACTCAAGAATTAAACAATGCTCATCAAAGCTTTGCTCAATTGCATAGACTTCTAATGTGGAACTCAAGAATGAAACAATGCACATCAAAGCTTTGCTCAAATTTCATAGACTTCTATTGTGGAACTCAAGAATGAAACAATGATCATCAAAGCTTTTCTAGATTGCAAAGACTACTTCTATTGTGGAACTCAAGAATTACAAAATGCTCATCAAAGCTTTGCTAAATTGCATAGACTTCTAATGTGCAAATCAAGAATGAAACAATGCTCATCAAAACTTTGCTTAAATTGCACACACTTCTATTGTGGAACTCAAGAATTAAACAATGATCATCAAAGCTTAGCTAAATTGCAAAGACTACTTCTATTGTGGAACTCAAGAATTAAAAAATGCTCATAAAAGCTTTGCTAAATTGCATAGACTTCTAATGTGCAAATCAAGAATGAAACAATGCTCATCAAAACTTTGCTTAAATTGCACACACTTCTATTGTGGAACTCAAGAATTAAACAATGCTCATCAAAGATTTGATAAATTGCAAAGACTACTTCTATTGTGGAACTCAAGAATTAAATAATGCTCATGGCTTTGCTAAATTGCATAGACTTCTAATGTGGAACCCAAGAATGAATCAATGCTCATGAAAGGATTGCTAAATTACATAGACTTTTATTGTGGAACTGAAGAATTAAACAATGCTAAAAAAAAGCTTTGTTTAAATTACATAAACTTGAATTGTGGAACTCGAGAATTAAACGATGCTCATCAAAGCTTTGCTAAATTGCATACACTTCTATTGTGGAACTTAAGTATTAAACAATGCTCATCAAATCTTTGCTTAAATTGCATAGACTTCTATTGTGGAACTCAAGAATTAAACAATGCTCATCAAAGATTTGCTAAATTGCGAAGGCTACTTCTATTGTGTAACTCAAGAATTAAACAATGCTCATCAATGCATTTGTAACAACCCGAAGTTTTCCATCATCGAAAATTTGTTCTACCCGTGAGATTTCGCCGTTAGTCGATTTGTTTCGTTCTCATTTTGGGTTAAACTAATTAAAATTATATGTTTATATTATAATTAAATGAGTGTCCAAACCCCTTAGGAACTCATGAAATTAACCCAAAAGTGTTTATTTCAAAAAGTTAGAAACATTCCCGCCGGGTGACGGTAACTTAATCGGGTGCGACCAAAAGTCGCGTTTAATGCCGGTATCGGGTAGAATTCCACCGTGTCCAAAACTTAGACACTATTTAAAGTGATCTAAGCACTCATTTGAAGCTTTTTATTCCTCTCACTACTCTCTCTCTAACCTCTCTCCTAAATCTAAGTTTAAGGGTCCAAAACTCAATTTTAAGGTCTCAAATCCTTAAGGTAACTTCCTAACCTCATTGTATAGCTTATTTGACTTCCAAATTTGAGATTTAATCATGGGATTGGACATGACATATGAGTTTATGGACCAGGAAGAAGCCTAGGCGGTAAAAACTAAGTTTGAAGGGTTTTGAGCCCTTAAACCCCTCCTAGACAATTTTGGGACCTATATATGGCTAAATGACTTCAAGGAATGGACTTAAAACACTTTAGACATGGATTTTGAGAGGTTTGAAGGAGTTTACGGCCAAGGCACAAGCTTGGGCCGTAAACTCATATAAAAGGGGTTTTTATGACCTTAAACCCTTCCAAATCACTTATAAGACTTAGATATGAATTTTAGGATATTGGTTTTAGCATTTAGACACCTTAAACATAATTTTTGAGGGGTTTGTGTGAGTTTACGGCCAAGGCATGTACTTGGGCTGTAAACTCCTTAAAAATGGGTGTAAGTTCAAATTCAAGGTGTTAGAAAGCCATCCAACACCACCAAAAGCCTTGGAGTAAATCATAGGACCAACCAAAAATAGTTTAAGGACCTTAAACACATCAAAACCCCACATTTGAGAGTTTACGGTCATAGAACATGTCTCATGGCCGTAAACTCCTAAAAGAGTGTCCATTGGTGCCCCAAACTCATTTCTAGGCTTGTGGGAATTTTTACAATCACATGTGATTAATTTTAAGACCTTAAAAACACTTAATCAAGGGGATATGAGAATTTACGGCCAAAGACCCCATGCTTAGGCCGTAAACTCCCTTAATTGTTGCAAATGGTGATTTTAATCCATTCCAAGCCTTAGGTAAAATCATTCCAAGCATTTCCAAGTGTCCATATCCATTTGTGACCCAATTTGCACCATAAATCACCCCACCATGAGTTTACGGCTGTAAACTCATGGGGAGTGGGTGTTTAGGCCGAAAATCCATTAAGGAGTTTGCTCTTGGGGAGTAAACTCATTTCCCAAGTCCCTCGCATCGTTGCACGTCCTTAAACGCCACCCGGGTCCCTCCAAACGCTTGTAATGAAGCGTTTTCACGATTAGAAGCATATGCACCTAACAAATAAATAATTTAAGTCCTAATTAGATGAAAATGTGTATCATTTGATAATCCATAGGAATCTTGTGCGTTTGCAAACCCAGAACCGACGTTTAGAATCCAAACCGATGCGTTCTCCAATCGGTGAGTTCATACCCCTACCCTTTTTCAACTGTTTTCACTGTTTTCAGGGGGGAATACAAGCAAAAGTACAAGGAAATCTTGTACTCAAACTTATTGTTTTCAGTTTAATCGTTTTCATTCTGTATGTTCTAATATCAATAATTGTGTTTACCAAATAGTTCAAATTACGAATTTAGCTTTCAAACTAATCATAGATTTCTTGATAAAATGTTCTAATCTAAACTATGTTTCATAATCTACGAATAATTTATACTAATTTCCAATTATAACTAATTCAAATTCGAATACGAATACGAAACGATAACTATGAATAGAACGAATACGAAACGATAACTAGGAATAGAACGAATACGAAACGATAACTAGGAATAGAACGAATACAAAAGTATAACTAGAAATGGAACAAATAGCAATACTAAAATAATAATACGAATACGAATACGAATACGAATACGAATAGTATTAGGAGTAGGATTAAGGATAGGAACACGACTGCGAATACGAATACGAATAGTATTAGGAGTAGGATTAGGAATAGGAACACGACTGCGAATACGAATACGAATACTATTAGGATTAGGAGTAGGAATACGAATACGAATATGAACAGGACTACAAATATAACTACGAATACAAATATAAGTTAAAAACTAATAATACGATAAAGAATAGGAATATGAATACGAAGACATGTATCTAGGTACACCCCAGTGTAATACCTTTAGGATATCAGAATACCTAGTTAATACAATAAGTACGAATGGTGACTAATCATTACATCAAAATCCAATAACTAAACTTACTTTTAGGAAAATATAGGATTTTCCTAGGATCATAGTTAATCATAACCAGGACCGCGTAACCTAAAACAGTTAACTAAACTTTTCTTTTAAGAAAATATGGGATTTTCTTGGATACCAAACTTATCGGAAGAATCAAAGGAAACTCGTACATTTTCACAAGATAAACATCTTATGAACTCACCAGCTTTATGTTGATTTTCAAACTGCTTGTATTCTCAGGTCGACATTAGACAGGTACCTAGCGAATCTTTTGGAGAAGACGGAGCGTACAGAAGACACGTTTCTACTTTTGTTCATATGATATATGTATAACACTAGTAACACTTTACTTTTGAACAAATGTAAATTCGAATATGTAATGTAATGGTTGTTTACTTTGCTTACTATGTACATTGGATTTGATACTCAACGTGGAGTCCGCCCTGGAAACGTTTCCGCCTTAGGTTTTTGAGGTGTGACAGCATTTCATTGCATAGACTTCTAATGTGGAACTCAAGAATGAAAAAAATGCATATCAAAGCTTTGCTTAAGTTACAAAGACTTCTATTGTGGAACTCAAGAATGAAACAATGATCATCAAAGCTTTGCTAAATTGCAAAGACTACTTCTACTGTGGAACTCAAGAATCAAAAAATGCTCATCAAAGCTTTGCTAAATTGCATTGACTTCTAAAGTGCAAATCAAGAATGAGACAAAGCTCATCAAAGCTTTGCTTAAATTGCACACACTTCTATTGTGGAATTCAAGAATTAAACAATGCTCATCAAAGATTTGATAAATTGCAAAGACTACTTCTATTGTGGAACTCAAGAATTAAACAATACTCATCAATGCTTTGCTAAATTGCATAGACTTCTAATGTGGAACCCAAGAACGAATCAATGCTTATGAAAGCTTTGCTAAATTACATAGACTTCTATTATGGAACTGAAGAATCAAACAATGCTCATAAAAGCTTTGTTTAAATTACATAAACTTGAATTGTGGAACTCGACAATTAAACGATGCTCATCAAAGCTTTGCTAAATTGCATACAACAGGTCTTCCATCTTGCAAATAAGGCATATCTTGTCTAGGCAAAATTTTTGAAATGATACCCTTATTTCCATGTCTTCCAGCTACTTTATCGCCTACTTTTATTTCACGTTTCTGTAAAATATATACACAAATACTTTCTGTTTTCTCTGTCTCATCTGTCTTAGAACTCTGGACCCATCTCACATCAATGACCCGACCCCTACCTCCTATAGGTAATTTTAGACAAGTTTCTTTTGAAGTATATACCCGCATGCCAAGTATGGTTTGTAACAATCTATCTTCGGGGGCATACGATGATTCTTTCACCATTTGGGGCGTTAATTTACCTACTAAAATATCACCTGTTTCCACCCAAGATCCCAGCATTACAATTCCATTTTTGTCTAAATTTCGGAGTAAATGGACTTCTAAATGCGGTATTTCATTAGTGACTCTTTCGGAGCCTTGGTTAATCTAAATTTCATATTTACGTATGTGAAAAGAAGTATAAATATCTTCATATACTAAGCGCTCACTAATGAGTACTGCATCTTCAAAATTGTAACCTTCCCATGGCATATAAGCTACTAATACGTTTTTCCCCAAAGCGAGTTCGCCACCAACTGTAGCAGCACCATACGCTAAAATTTGTCCCTTTTTAATGCATTTACCCCGCTGAACCTGGGGTTTTTGATGCATACAAGTATTTTTGTTGGAACGTTGATACATAACTAATGGAATCCTTAGAGTATCCCCATTACCTGATAAAAGGATCTTGTCAGTATCGGTATAAATAATCTCTCCCTCGTGTTCGGCTATAGCAAGAGCCCCTGAATCTAGAGCCGCTTGGCCTTCCAATCCAGTTCCAACAATGCACTTCTCGGACTGAGAAAGAGGGACTGCTTGGCGTTGCATGTTAGAACTCATTAAAGCCCGATTCGCATCATTATGCTCGATAAAAGGAATGAGGGAAGCTCCAATAGAAAAATATTGGAAGGAAAAAATACTTATGTTATGGAACTCAAGTATTAAACAATGCTCATCACAGCTTTGCTAAGTTGCATAGACTTCTAATGTGGAAATCAAGAATGAAACAATGCTCATCAAAGTTTTGCTAAATTGCACGGACTTCTGTTGTGCAACACAATAATCAAACAATTCTCATCAAAGCTTTGCTAAATTGCATACACATCGATTGTGGAACTCAAGAATTAAACGATGCTCATAAAAGCTTTGCTAAATTACATAGACTTCTTCTATTGTGTAACCCAAGAATTAAACAATGCTCATCAAAGCTTTGCTTAATTGCATCAACTTCTAATATGGAACTCAAGAATGAAACAATGTCATCAAAGCTTTGCTTAAATTGTATAGACTTCAATTATGGAACTCAAGAATGAAACAATGCTCATCAAAGCTTTGCTTAAATTGCATAGACTTCTATTGTGGAACTCAAGAATGAAACAATGCTCATCAACGATTTGCTAAATTGCAAAGACTACTTATATTGTGGAACTCAGGAATTAATAAATGCTCATCAAAGCTTTGCTAAATTGCATAGACTTCTAATGTGGAACTCAATATTTAAATGATGCTCATCAAAGCTTTGCTAAATTACATAGACTTCTAATATGGAACTCAAGAATGAAACAATGCTCATAAAAGATTTGATTAAATTGCATAGACTTCTATTGTGGAACATAAGAATTAAACAATGCTCATCAAAGCTTTGCTAAGTTGCATAGACTTCTAATGTGGAACTCAAGAATGAAACAATGCTCATTAAATCTTTGTTTAAATTGCATAGACTTGAATTGTGGAACTCAAGAATTAAACAATGCTCATAAAAGCTTTGCTAGATTGCGAAGACTACTTCTATTGTGTTACTCAAGAATTAAACAATGGTCATCCAAGCTTTGCTCAATTGCATCGACTTATAATGTGGAACTCAAGAATGAAACAATGCATATCAAAGCTTTGCTTAAATTGCATAGACTTCTATTGTGGAACTCAAGAATTAAACAATGCTCATAAAAGATTTGCTAAATTGCGAAGACTACTTCTATTGAGTAACTCAAGAATTAAACAATGCTCATCAAAGCTTAGCTCAATTGTATAGACTTCTAATGTGGAACTCAACAATGAAACAATGCTCATCAAATCTTTGCTTAAATTGCATAGACTTCTATTGTGGAACTCAAGAATGAAACAATGATCATCAAAGCTTTGCTAAATAGCAAAGACTATTTCTATTGTGGAACTCAAGAATTAAAAAAATGCTCATCAAAGCTTTGCTCAATTGCATAGACTTCTAATGTGCAACTCAAGAATGAAACAATGCTCATCAAAGCTTTGCTTAAATTGCACACACTTCTATTGTGGAACTAAAGAATTAAACAATGCTCATCAAAGCTTTGATAAATTGCAAAGATTACTTTTGTTGTGGATCTCGGGAATTAAACAATGCTCATCAATGCTTTGCTAAATTGCATAGACTTCTAATGTGGAACCCAAGAATGAAACAATGCTCACGAAAGCTTTGCTAAATTACATAGACTTCTATTATGGAACTCAACAATCAAACAATGCTCATCAAAGTTTTGTTTAAATTGCATAAACTTCAAATGTGGAACTCAAGAATTAAACGATGTTCATCAAAGCTTTGTTAGAATTGCATAGACTTCTATTGGTGAACACAAGAATCAAACAATGCTCATCAAAGCTTTGCTTAAATTGCAAAAACTTCTATTTTGGAACTCAAGAATTAAACGATGCTCATCAAAGCTTTGCTAAATTGCATATACTACTTCGATTGTGTAACTCAAGAATTAAACAATGCTCATCAAAGCTTTGCTCAATTGCATCAACTTCTAATGTGGAACTCAATAATGAAACAATGCTCATGAAAGCTTTGCTAAATTGCTTAGATTTCTATTGTGGAACTCTAGAATCAAACAATGCTCATCAAAGATTTGCTTAAATTGCATAGACTTCAATTGTTGCACTCAAGAATTAAACGATGCTCATCAAAGCTTTGCTAAATTGCATAGACTTCTATTGTGGAACTCAAGTATTAAACAATGCTCATCAAAGCTTTGCTAAGTTGCATAGACTTCTAATGTGGAACTCAAGAATGAAACAATGCTTATCAAAGCCTTCTAAATTGCATGGACTTCTATTGTAGAACACAAGAATCAAACAATGCTCATCAAAGCTTTGCTTAAATTGCATAGACTTCTATTGTGGAACTCAATAATTAAACGATGCTCATCAAAGCTTTGTTAAATTGCATAGACTTCTAATGTGAAACTCAAGAATGAAACAATGTGCATCAAAGCATTGCTTAAATTGCATAGACTTCTATTGTGGAACTCAAGAATTAAACAATGCCCATCAAAGCTTTACTAGATTGCGAAGACTACTTGTATTGTGTAACTCAAGAATTAAACTATGCACATCAAAGCTTTGCTCAATTGGATCGACTTCTAATGTGGAACTGAAGAATGAAACAATAATCATCAAAGATTTGCTTAAATTGCATAGACTTTTTTTGTGGAACTCAAGAATGAAACAATGCTCATCAAATATTTGCTAAATAGCAAAGACTACTTCTATTATGGAACTCAGGAATTAAAAAATGCTCATCAAAGCTTTGCTAAATTGCATAGACTTCTTATGTGGAACTCAAGAATTAAATGATGCTGATCAATGCTTTGCTAAATTGCATAGACTTCTAATGTGGAACCCATGAACGAATCAATGCTCATGAAAGCTTTGCTAAATTACATACACTTCTATTGTGGAACTGAAGAATCAAACAATGCTCATAAAAGCTTTGTTTAAATTACATAAACTTGAATTTTGGAACTCGTGAATTAAACGATGCTCATCAAAACTTTGCTAAATTGCATGGACTTCTATTGTGGAACACAAGAATCATGCAATGCTCATCAAATCTTTGCTTAAATTGCATAGACTTCTATTGTGGAACTCAAGAATTAAACGATGGTCATCAAAGCTTTGCTAAATTGCATTGACTTCTAATGTGGAACTCAAGAATGAAACAATGCTCATCTCGCTTTGCTTAAATTGCATAGACTTCAATTGTGGAACTCGAGAATTAAACAACGCTCATCAAAGCTTTGCTAGATTGCGAAGACAACTTCTATTGTGTAACTCAAGAATTAAACAATGGTCATCAAGCTTTGCTCAATTGCATCGACTTTCTAATGTGGAATTCAAGAATGAAACAATGCTCATAAAAAATTTGCTTAAATTGCATAGATTTCTACTGTGGAACTCAAGAATTAAACAAGATTTGCTAAATTGCGAAGACTACTTCTATTGTGTAAGTCAAGAATCAAACAATGCTCATCAAAGCTTTGCTCAATTGCATAGACTTCTAATGTGGAACTCAAGAATGAAACAATGCACATCAAAACTTTGCTTAAATTGCATAGAATTCTATTGTGGAACTCAAGAATAAAACAATGATCATCAAAGCTTTGCTAAATTGGTAAGACTACTTCTATTGTGGAACTCAAGAATTAAAAAATGCTCATCAAAGCTTTGCTAAATTGCATAGACTTCTAATGTGCAAATCAAGAATTAAACAATGCTCATCAAAACTTTGCTTAAATTGCACACACTTCTAATGTGGAACTCAAGAATTAAACAATGCTCATCAAAGATTTGATAAATTGCAAAGACTACGTCTATTGTGGAACTCAAGAATTAAACAATGCTCATCAATGCTTTGCTAAATTGCATAGACTTCTAATGTGGAACCCAAGAACGAATCAATGCTCATGAAAACTTTGCTAAATTACATAGACTTCTATTGTGGAACTGAAGAATCAAACAATGCTCATAAAAGCTTTGTTTAAATTACATAAACTTGAATTGTGGAACTCGAGAATTAAACGATGCTCATCAAAACATTGCTTAAATTGCACACACTTCTATTGTGGAACTCAAGTATTAAACAATGCTCATCACAGCTTTGCTAAGTTGCATAGACTTATACATAGAACTCTAGCATGAAATAATGCTCATCAAAGCTTTGCTAAATTGCATGGACTTCTATTGTGGAACACAATAATCAAACAATGCTCATCAAAGCTTTGTTTAAATTACATAAACTTCTATTGTGGAACTCCAGAATTAAACGATACTCATCAAAGCTTTGCTAAATTGCAATGACTTTTTCTATTGTGTAACCCAAGAGTTAAACAATGCTCATGAAAGCTTTGCTCAATTGCATCGACTTCTATGTGGAACTTAAGAATGAAACAATCCTCATCAAACCTTTGCTTAAATTGTATAGACTTCAATTGTGGAACTCACGAATGAAACAATGCTCATCAAAGCTTTGCTTAAATTGCATAGACTTCTATTGTGGAACTCAAGAATGAAACAATGCTCATCAAAGTTTTGCTAAATTGAAAAGACTACTTCTATTGTGGAACTCGAGAATTAAAAAATGCTCATCAAAGCTTTGCAAAATTGCATAGACTTCTAATATGGAACTCAAGAATAAAACAATGCTCATAAAAGCTTTGCTTAAATTGCATAGACTTCTATTATGGAACACAAGAATTAAACAATGCTCATCAAAGCTTTGCTAAGTTGCATTGACTTCTAATGTGGAACTCAAGAATGAAACAATGCTTATCAAAGCTTTGCTAAATTGCACGGACTTTTATTGTGGAACACAAGAATCAAACAATGGTCATAAATGTCACACCCCAAAAACCGAAGGCGGAAACATTTCGGGGGTTGACTCCACGTTGAGTATCAAATCCAATGCACATAGTAAGTAAAGTAAAACAACCATTACATTACATAAGAAAAGTTTTATAGTTGTTTCAAAAGTAAAGTTTGTACAGCTGTGATACATAGTATATATATGAACA